TAAATAAATTGAGATAAATTATGTTGTGATCTTTAAGTTTAGGGTTTAGTTTTACCAAATGAGAATGTATATTAATTATGGGCAGGGTTATGACCAATATCTAGAATATTAAGGTTACTAAAAACAGTATAATATTATCTTTAAAATTATTAATTATATTTAATATGATTAATAAACAATTATTAATTATTAATTATTAATTATTAATTAATAAAATAATTAATATTTATTTATTAATAAATTAAAATTACTTAATAAATTTATATTTTTAAATATACTATTAAAAAAACTAAAAAATCAGCAATCTTAACATTTTTCGTGGCGGAGATAAGGACACCGTTAACTCTCCAATCAATTCTTCGGATTCTATTTGCAGATTTTTTTTGAAACTGCGTGGTTCCTATCTTCTAATTTGAGATCTTTAGTATGCCACTGTTTACCTGGGCCGTGTTTCATAATATTATGGACCACGTGGTTGGCTTTATTATGGACCACGTGGTTGGCTTTATTATGACCCTACAGGCTACAGGCTACAGGCTACAGGCTACAACAACTATTCTTTTGAATTTTTGCATGTATCTCCATTAGGATATCAGAAGACGAAACACGAGGTGGTTGAGTGAGGAAAGCAGAATGCTCAGAATCGCCGCTAAAGTTAGTCAATGGGACAAATTCCCAAATAATTTTAAATTTAACATATAATTTCAAAAAATATCAATAATTTATTAATTTATTGTATCATTGATACGTTATTATTAACAAATTGTTAATTTCATTTGACATAATTTTGAGTAATTTGTCCAAATAAAAGATATTTTAGGTAAACTTATCTTATTTTTTTATCGAGATAAATCAGTTACTATTACTTAATTTTAATGATGAGTTTAGATATTCAGTTACGGAAGAAAGTACATTGTAATTAAATTTTAAGAAAATTTTAAATTTAAATCATGGCTATTTGTGTCAATGTCTCATTAAAATTTTAATTTGAAACTCACATTTTTTCTTTAAATATAGAAATTAACCCTTATTATTAGAAAATTTTAAACTTTGTTTGGCTTAATTGTTTTAAATAACTTTTAATTAATAGTTAATATATGATGATTGATGTTTGCTTTTAGAAAGAAAATATAAAAAGGGATTTGGGTAAGAATTATTACCTCGGGAATGGTGGCAAAAGCTTAGTTTGAGCTCCTTATTTTATCAAATTTGAAGGTTTTAACCTCTTATTTTATTATGATACTATTAACCTCTCACCTTACTAAATTTGTAAGTTTTAACCTCTCATCTTATACTATAACACTTTTAGCCCCTTACCTATTAAAATTGAAAAAAATAATCTTCACTTTATAATATTTTGTTAGTTCTGTTAACTAACTGTTAATTATATTATCTGATTGATAGTTGACTGTTAGCTGACGAAACTTTCTTTCAGCTAACAGAGTTAACAGAACTAACTTTATAATATTTTGTTAATTCTGTTAACTGACTATTAGTTGACTATTAATTGATAAAAACCAACGTTCACCTAACAGAGTTAACAGTTAGTATAAAGTGAGAGCTATTTTCTTTGATTTTAATAAATGAGGGGCTAAACTTACAAATCTAGTAAGGTAACAGGTTAAAAATGTCATAGTATAAGATGATGGGCTAAAACCTTTAAACTTGATAAGATAAAGGGTCAAAACCAGGTTTTTGTCGGGAGTGGTAGGTAAGGGGTACTTATAATCCTCATTTATGACACTTGTAACATGTGTCCAATTCACACTAGTTTGCTTCTTACTATTTGGGCGGTTAACTTCTTTACATGGCCTTCCCTTAATGGACCTTTTTTAAGCCTATAGCCCGTCATCATGCATTGAGCCAATGTTGGGTCACTATCCTAACACTACTCTTCCTCTAGTGTTTTACAAGCTTCACTTAAGCCCAACGTTGTGCAAGGGCTTGTTTGGCTAAGGGCTTGGCCATACCTACTTGATGCTCTTTGTGTGAGCCCATACCTTGGCACAGGGGCCTTACAAGCTGGTAGTCTATAACACTTGGCTCTTACTGAACTAGCTTCATATCTTGGTTAGGATTGAAACTAATGGGCTTACTAATTATTTTTGGGGTCTTCATTTCTTTCCTTTATCCGCCTCCCCTCCTTTTGTCTACTTCAGCTCCTTAGCCCTTTTATTGTTAGCTTTTTGCTTCAACAATTGGAAATCTTCAAACAACATAAAACTAGCAGACCTGTCATTGACCTCATTTCATGTCTTAGGAAGTTTTTCTAATAGGTCATTAAAGAAACACCTAGGTTGTAGACCATGTAAAAGGGGGGATAGACATGTGGTGTCTGGTACATTGTTAATGTCTAAAGTTGCCTTGTTGAATCTTTGCATGATTAAAGAAAAGGACAGAGGATAATATAACTATATAATTGCCAGAAGCCAAATAGGTCTACGTGCAGCGGCCCACCCTATGCAATTGCTTATATTTTTATTCATTTGACTTTGAAGTTTCTCAAATTTAGAAGTTTTTTCACTTGCCAAACTTTCAATGTCAACACAATGGATATTTGATTTATTTCCCCTTTTTTTAGTTGGTTTATTTGTTTTTTTCCTTTGCATTTTTCTATTTAGTTTTTACTTACTCTATTTGTCATGGATATTTATTTGCTTTATTCCCCTTTTTTTCAGTTAGTTTATTTACTTCTTTTTTTCTTTGAATTTTTATAGTTAGTTTTTCCTTACTTTATTTGACAATTGACATGTCTTCTCTATTTTAAATATGAAATGCTATAAATGATGTCAACTTCAAGAATTCAGATGAATAGTTACTCTTCTGAATCAGTAGAGGTAGCATTAAGAGGAGAAAAATTGTTTGAATTTGATTCTTGGGTATATATATTTTGCATATTTATAAAGTTTCCTATGTTCCCTCCCTATCTTATGTAATATTAATTAATGTTTAAATTCTTGCACTATTTTTTAATGCTTAGGCACCTCCACTACGAAATGATTTGGAGGAAGAATTTGAAAGCTATGAGAAAAGGATGGAAGAAATGAAAAGGACCAAAGGAAAGCAAATGGAGGAGGATGACGAGGAATATAAGGAAGACTTAGAAGAGGAGGAAGAGGAAGATGATATTGATGATAATCTTGGTAAAATTAGTGAGGGGAATATCACAAGAGCTAAATAAAGCACAACAAATAGAACTAAAAAAAGGGGGAAGAGTTTGTTAGAAAAATCAACCTTTTGAGGTCACTCAACAGTCTCAACCTCAAGGCACTTAACAAAAACCAAGAGGTATAACTTTTGAAGCTTGGAATTACTTTATGTGCTTTATTGGTCCTAATGGGAAACAAAAGGGGAGGTCTAAATGGTGTAGTGCTATCATAAGAGCTTGTTCTTCAAATAATGGGACTTCAAGCCTTAAGAAACACATAAGTAGATGCAATTTAAATCTAGAAAATTTGAAAAAGCAAGCACAATTAAAGTTGACCAAGTTTACAACTGTTGATGGAGGTGAGGCAATGCATTTGGGGTAGTGGAAGTTTGATGAAGTGGCAGCTAGGAAGGCAATTGCTATGATGATTATTTTAGATGAGTTACCTTTTAGTTTTGTCGAGAAAGAAGGATTTTTATATTTATGTACAATGTGTCTTCCTCAACATTCTAAGCCTCCATCTAGGAGAATTATCACAAGAGATATCCTTGCTTTATATTGTGACTGCTTTATATTGTGACCTTAAAGATGATTTGTCCAAATTCTTTAAGGACAAGAAGATGAGAGTCTCTTGAACTACAGATAAATGGACTTCACAATATAAAATCTCTTATATATCTCTCACTACTCACTTTATTGATGATAATTGGAATTTGTAGAAGAAAATATTGTGCTTTGTCCCTGTGGATAGTCATAAAGGGGAGGACTTAGGGGATGTGTTAGAGAGATGCTTAAGAGAATGGGGCACTGATAGGGTCTAGCGTATTACTATTGACAATGCTAGTGCAAATGATATGCTGGTCAGGTCATTAAAAGAATGCCTTAACAAATGGGGGACTAGTGTGTTGTAGGGGAAGGATTTGCATATGCATTGTGTAGCACACATTGCAAACTTGGTTGTCCATGATGGTATGAAGCTATACAACAATTATGTGGAATTCGTAAAAGCTTGTTGCAAATGGGTTAGGCAAAGCACTTTGAATTGAGTTCTCCAAATGCTTGTGGGATTCTAGACTTTGAGGATTGGGAAAATATCAAAAGATTAACTAGATTCCTTAAGCATTTCTATTTGTTTACTTTGAAGGTAAAATGTAATTTTAGTAAATGAGATTTTAAATAGATTCAATTTCTTATTTTGTGAAATTTTTTTTTGCTTTCATTGTGTTTTCAAGCTTCTTGACTTTTCCTTCATCTACAGTTACAAAAGTCACTCTAATTTTGACATTTTAAGTTTGTGTTTAAATTCAATTGTTGAAGTTATTTTTAATTTTAACATTGTAAGATCTTTTTTCCTGTGAGTGAGTGGGAGTTGGTATTGTATTATTAATTTATTGTTGCATGAATTGTGTGAGATTAGCACTCTTA